CAGAGTAGAACCTCAACTTGTAGATACCCAAGCCCATGCTTTCTCCTGTCACCTCCCTGCCTTCCTTTCCAGGATTGAGCCAAGATGGCTTCTGTCTTCTGGTAGAGGAGGGATTTCCCTGCAACAGCCTACCTTCCCAAATCCCACCAGGACAGGACAAATGGCTCTGCCACTTGAAGGATTGAATTCACATGTGTACTGAAACAAACTGGGTCTTAGAGTTGTTCTGAGTTTCATGTTCCAAAGGACCCCACTCCCTAGGCATAAAAGCAAGAGCATGCATTATCTTCTTGGTGACTTGGTCCTCCAGACCTGAGCTGCACAGCAGACTGGGAGAGATGCACACCCACAGGTGTGGGCCATCATGTGGTTAAATCTGTACTGCAGCTCCACCCAGCGCAGCACTACAAGGAGGCCCCTTAGGAGCCCCATTCTGGCTTGTGGCAGCTGCTCTAGGAGATTGAACACAGAGAGGATGCCTTGTAGGGCATCACTCAAGAAGTAGTGGACACAGACAGGCAACAATGTGGGTGTTAAATAATCCAATGAAAATACAAAAGAAACAAAGAATAGGTCTTAAAACTATATTGCCTAAAATATTTCCCTGAATCACTAGTGTGCTTTAACTTGGGCAAAATTAATATCTAATGTAAATATATTTAAAACTGTTGTGATATTCCAGAATGTACTCAACTGAAAAGCTTGCTGATAAAATAGTTAAAAGTTCTCCCTTTAAGGAGTGATTCTGGAGTGATGTCCAGCAATGAAACCCCAAAGCCTGTATCCGGGTGACTCATTCCAGGTGTGAATGCACAAAGTGTTGGCTAATTCAATTCCTGGGCCACATGTGGACTTCTCTGACTAGTGACTGTCAGCCACTGAGGTCATCTGAAATCTCTCCTGGCCCATGGGTTTCTGCATGCCCTTGTCGTACATGCAGGGAGTGCACACTGGTCAGATTCCATGTTACCAATACGATGGCGAGGTATGCCTCTCTCTTTACATTGGCTCTGTGCGTGTGGCCAGATAAAACCCTTTGGCTATGGCTGCTATTTTGGTGGATAAAACTGTAAACTACAAGCGGACATTTTCTAAGAGTGCCTTGGTTGTGGCTTTGAGTCATACCCAGGGTGAACTGCACATTACCTCCTGGTTGGGGGCTATTTTCTCCTCATCACTTCCTTGAGCCATGATACCAAGCCACTTATCATAGTAATGGTGTGATAATATGCTTCCTTGGACATTTGGAAGAAAATATTTCCATAGAAAACTATTATTCTTATGGAAAAACATATACCTATTGCAGGAATTACAGAGAAAGCATTCACTTGATAATCCCCACTTAGTCCCAGTCCCCTCACAGACGCTGGCAGGTGGCCTTCCACAGGCCATGGATCTGGCTGTGCTGACCTGCACCCTCTCCTCAAGGAAAACCAGAGCCAAAGAGCAGCATATGGGAGTCTCCTCCTATCATCTGAAACTTCCTCTTTGTGGGCATTTAAGCAAACCAGGATAAACTAACAAGGTAGCAGATAAATCATGCTAAAAACCTGCTCTTCTCTTGAATGGAAATAAGCACACACATTTTGCTTATTTCTTTAAAAAAATGATCTATGTTTTTCTTGACTTCTCGACAGCACCTAGGAAAACCATGTGATCTGCTCTTCATCTTCTGGAGTACTTCTCCCTGCCTCAGCGAATCAACACTTTGATCCTTGTAACTTCAGCCCCTATCATCCTTAGAAACATTTACTTTCATACACATGATCTTTCTATCACAGGCTTGAGCTGTGTGGTGTGTGTGTGTTTGAACACACGTGACAGGCCATGGGCGGCACCCAGCTTATCATCCCCAGTGACATTCACTGTCTCCCAGGCTCAGCCCTCAAGGAAACATCAGCACACTTTCACATCAGATGTCCCCGTCACTTGGAAATGTAGTACCTCCTGGATCACCACGTTTCCAGTTCCGAAAGCATCCCTCTACACTTCCATATACTTGACTGTTTCATTCACTCCCACAAATATGCCTTTATCAACCCTTTTTTCCCCTATCAACTGAGTTCAAGTTTCATTTGACACCCTGTTATGGTTTAGATATGAAGTGTCCACCAAAAGCTCTTGTGTGAGTCAGTGCAAGAAAGTTTAATGGTGAAATGATTGGGCTATGAGAGCCTTAATCAGTGCATTAATTGACTGATAGGGATTAACTGGGTGGAAACTGTAAGCAGGTAGGGTGTGGCTGAAGGAGGTGGGTTTCTGGGGCATGTCTTTGGGGAATTTTGTCCATGATGAGAGGAGTCTCTCTCTGCTTCCTGATGCAATGACCTGAACTGCTTTCCTCTGCCACACTGTTCTGCCATGATGGTCTGCCTCACCTCTGGCTCAGAGCAATGGAATTGGCTATCTTTGGACTAAGATCTCTGAAATTGTGCCAAATAAACTTTTCCTCTTTGAAAATTATTCTTGTCAGGTCATTTGGTTACCACAGCAGAAAAGTTGACTAAAACACGTCCTATTCTGAAATGTGCAACTGTTTTATTTCTTGCTTTGAACTACAAACTTGTAAAGGGGAGTCCATACAAACTGCCTGTGTGCACCTCCTAGCCACCAGTTCAGTCCTTCACCCCTTGCCATCTAGGTTTTGCTTCAGCCTTTATTCTAAACTCAAAAATAGCCTCATCAATAATCCATGAGAATTTTCTACAAGTTATTTTCCTCCTGTTCTCTCTGAACACTGCTGTCCATTCTTTCCTTCTGGCTACTTTCCATTCTTTTATTATTTTCCTCATTCTCTGGTTTTCCAATGTCTCTTTCACTAATTCCATATCTACTTCCCACCTCTTAAATAGTTTCAGTTCTAACATTATTCCAGGCATCACCGCATATATACACTACTGGTCACCCTCACCTCCAAGATGCCCAAGTATGTCACAAATTCAACAAAAACAGCAAACTTTTTTTTAAAACCCTTTGATGCTCCACACACTAAAGTCTCTATTTCTGCTAATGACAATATAATCTTCTCAGAGCAACAAACTGAAAATTTCTGAATCACCTTTACGTCTCTCTCCTATAAATCAGGTTAATTCTATTTTTATTTTAATTGTTTTTTAAAGGTCCCTTTTTAGTGTAGTTCTTCCATTCCTTTCTAATGCACTGCCCTAGTTCAGGCCCTCCTTATCTATCCTCCAACACTTTTATACCTCTGGATGGGAAAGGAGGACCTAAACCTAAAAATATTATTACACATGGTATATGCTAAGGGATTAATAAATTGAAAAAAACAGAGGTCTCTAATTGGCTATTTGAATGCCAAATCTGAAAGATGTGTTTTGTTTGGCCTGAAGAGTATTTTTATAATTTTGAGCAAACTTTCCCTAAAGACTTCAAATAAAAATCTAGATGTTCAAGTAGTCTAGCAAAGGAGAACATCTCGCAGCACTGAGGTCCACAGCTATCAGCTGGATTTGACTTGTGGTGTCTTCTTAAGAGACTTACCCCACCATAATCCTCACCACTCTCTAGTTCCAATTATTTATATTCATCTGCTTCTACTCATTCAAGCTTCTTGGTATCTGAGTAAATTTTGCTTTTAAAGTCAGAACTAAATTTTTGATGGTAAGGATGCTATTTTGCATGTATGTTTGACTACTAACAATGTATCTAGCACAATGGTAAGCACCCATTATATGTTTGGAGAAAGTTGTTGAGATTATTTTCAGGAAACGTATAAAAGTACACAGAGAAAATAGGATTTAAATTGAATCCTGAATAAAACAGTTTGATTTGATTAACCTGTAAAGAAGAGAGAAAACTATACTTGGTACAAAAAAAAATACTATACTTTATCCCAAATTGAGTGCTAATTTGTTTACTGCTAGGCAATTTACTTAACCTCTGTGAGCCTAAGTTTACCTATCTGCTGAACTATGATATAATATATTTCATAGTGCAGTTATGAGAAATAACCAAGATATATAATTACACAGTATGATTAATAAGTAGTAGTTAATAACAACAAAAAATACTAACTCCCTAAATAAGAAGTCAATAGATGAGCAGGGTCAGGACATAGTGAGTAGTCCAATTAGACTAGAGTGAAATGCAAACAAGAATGGAAAGAGATACAGACCTGAACCAGTCACCATTTCTCTCCAACCAACTTAAGGCTTAAAGTTATCAGCTGAGTCATTAACTGTGGGAAGTGACAGAAGCCAAGGATTCTGAAGAAATCCTTCCTCAATAGAAAGTACATGAGCTCCGAATCAGATTCAGATCTGGCACTTACTAGCAGGGTAAACCTGAGCCAGTTTGTTAACTTTTCTAGTTCTCTGTTCCCTTATCTATAAAATGGGGATGGAATGACCTATTTTTAAAAAATAACATAAAAAGGATGGTATGAAGCACAAACAAATAATACATTTGAAGCATCTAGCAGTTGGCTAGGTATATGGTGGACACTCAAATTACATCATGAATACCAGCATCTTGTACCACCTTTTCACTCTTGTGTGTCTTTCCCTCTTCTTTACCAGGCTCTTTTTGCCTCCCTACGGATATCCATGTTTTCAACAAGTGTTTTTTGAAAATTAATCTCACTTTGAAAGCATTTATTATAAGTCAGGCATAGTGCTATTAACACTAGCTTTAAACAAGGCTACCTATCTTGCCCATGAAAGTACTTCAAATTCACGTGCATAAGTGAGCCATGCACCTCCTTGTAAATCAATTTGCAAAATATACTGGCTTGACCAAAATGTGTCCACATATCTTATATGTGTAATGTGTAGTCCAAAATGTGTTCACATATTCTGAAGTTCCAAGAGTATATGTGTAAGCATAGCAAAAGGAAGCTGGGATAGGTATTGCTGAAATGGCAAGAAGCAACAGTAAACAATGGTAAAGGAACTAAGTTAAAGTATAAGGAGACACATGCTTTAACCCATTAATTCCCATTTCTGGCAAGTTAGCCTGAGGAAATAATTACAGACATGCACAACAATTTAAAAGATGTTCCTTCCAGGTTTGTTCATAAAACTATAAAAGTAAAACCAATTTTAACATCTAACAATAAATAAATTATGGTTTATCCAAGTAAGTTATTAATAATTGATGTCACAGAGTATCTGATAAAATGGAAAGATGATCAGGATATATTAACTGACAATAGCAAAACACGTGGATAAACATGAAAAGATTAAGGCTAGCAAAACATTAATGATTGACTATGAAGGTACAGTCTGGATTTTCACTTTTTGTTTCTAGCTTTAAATGTTTTACAACTAGAAAAAAATGATAGGCGCACGCTAAATATGCAAATAAGCACACAAATGGTTTGGGGAGTGGAGATATATGATGACTAAATAAATGGTAAGATAGCTACCAAAATAGGTGATCGATAAATAAAGATAGATGATAGATTGACAGCTAGATGCCTGGCTAGACAGACACATGAGAGATAGATGGATGATTAGATAATCTCCACATCCAGGAGGCACCCAGAGTCAGATGGCTCTCAAGAATGCTTCATGAACCTCATAGGTGTCCTCAGTGACAGGTTCATGACAACAAGCGAATGATCCAGCAGTTGTGTCTGAGCCTGTCGTTTCTGCCTTCAGGTCGACGCCCATGGGAACATTCTCCTCAGCACCCTGGAAATCAGGAACGAGACCAGCGGCTCAGAGGTGCTCACGGGCGTGAGCGACCCCAACACCACCATGTACTCCTACGGCAGCGCCAGCATCCAGTACCGCAAGCCGCTGAGCAGCCGCGAGGGCTACGGGCGCGCCCTGGACCGGCACGGGGTGCCCAGCAAGGGGCGCATCCGCCGGCGCGCCTCGCAGCTCAAAGTCAAAATCCCCGACTTGACGGACGTGAACTCCATAGACAAGTGGTCCCGAATGTTTTTCCCCATCACCTTTTCCCTTTTTAACGTCGTTTATTGGCTTTACTATGTACACTAAGATCTGTCCTAATGGTTCAATTTAGACTACTTTCCTCTTCTCTTGTTTTTTAACCCCACAGGTCCCCAACAGCGATACTGCTGTGTTTTTTGAGGTAAGAGATTCAGCCATCCAACGGGTTTTAGGTCTTGCATATCGATTTTATTACTGCACCATGTTTACTTCCAAAAAAAAAAAGGTATTTTTTTCCAGTCTACTGTGGTCCAGGTTATCAGCTCTTTAAGAGCTCTATTAATTGCCATGTTTACAAACAAACCACACAAGAGAGGAGTTAGGAAGATCTTTAGCAGTCTTTCCTAGTTGCCCTGAATTTATATATATATAAAAGAGCCTTGCTGTTCACCTGCACTGCTTCCTGGTAAACTGTAACATTCTCATGCTGCCAAAAAAATAAATAAATAAATAAAAATAAGAAAGAAAGAAAATATAAATAAATAAACCAATACAACAATTTCCAGGATCTCAGAAGAAAAATAACAAAGCCATTGACAAGTTACAGATTTCCAGGAAGACGGAGAGGGAGACAAGGGAGGAGTCTAGAAAAGAGAGGAAGGTTCCCCTGGACTCTTAAGTACCCCCCTAAGTCCCTTGTAAAAGGGCTCCTGAGCTCTGTGGAACAGGAGGGAGGGACTGAAAAGTGTCGGTCAAGGTGGTGCCAACTCAACCTTCCATCTTCACCTCACCATTAGGCTGGGTATCCTTAGAAAGTCTTCTTTGTCAGATTTCCTGGCAAATTCTTCAATGAACATTAGAATCCAGCCTGCTAAAACTGATAGCCATTGAGAACATTTTTCTCTCCTTAGGAATGAAGAGTTTGGGGAGCAATGACTAGATTTCTTACTGACATGTCCAATGAGCAGCCCTGAATGCACTTCATGAGCCTGAAATCCTTTGAAACTGTGCCATGAAACCTTGCCATCACATTTCCATAGTTCCTTCTTCGGGGAGAATAAGAGAAAGGATACGTGGTGAGGGCTTTGAAGAGAGGAATGGGGAGAAATTTTCACTTGAGAAAAAATATTGTCCTTTCCATGAGGAAGGCAAGATTTATGTGCTGTGTAAAGGGTGCCTGGGCAGTTCTCTGAACTGCCAAATCTTAAATCAAATAGTATATATTTCTTAGCCTTCCAGAGAGCTGTATCTAATGGTGACAGGCTAGTCACACAGGCCTTAGCAGGTACTTTCCGGCTCTCTCTGAGCTCTGCATTCCAGGCTGTGGAATGAATGATACAGGAAACGCACACTTATCCACATTGGTGTCATTTGCTTCCAAAGCCAGACTTCCATTTTAAGAAAATCCTTAAAGTAACAAATCCACAGATAAAAACAACAACAACAAAAGCACTGGGCCTTCAAACACTTGCACCAGCCCCTAAAGTGTCAACCCTGTCTACACTTGTCAATCACTGTCATCCCTGCTCTGCCTTATCTCTGCTCATGGATTACCCTGGATCATGGTTCTCATGACTTTCAGTAATGCCACACAATTATAAACACATCCAACACGCTATAGTTAAGATACTTCCCATTTGATTTCATTAAAACCTCCCTTTTTTTTTTTTTAAGTGTGAGTATCTAAAAATTCTCTATGTTCACTTTCAAGGTTGAGTGAGAACTTAAATTGACTAACCAGTAATAGAAGTGATTTTGGCACCTGATCCATAGATATGAAATCAGGGTTTAAGTAATAATAGGGATGATTGCCTCATTTGATAATCTAGCTTTTCTCCCTGAAGCTGTGAGGAAAATCTATGGGTAGACTAGCATGAGCTTCTGGAAATTATAGTCATAATTGGAAAGATGAGGCTGAATTCCTACTGATGAGCCCAAGGGGAGTTATAAGATATTATTTTAGGAAAAAAAGGGGGAGCCCTCAAATAATAAATGGGTATGGTTGAAGATAATATACATTAGTAAGAATATTAAAACTCCACTTTAACTGGAAAAATGATCTCAATGGTTTTATGAGGAGTTAGTACGATTATGGGGACCAAATTTTTATTTTGATTTTCAGTTATTTGAACATACTTCCCTGATCAAGGTATCCCCAACTTGTGGACACAAGTCATCTATTTTGAAATTTTATTCAGTCCCTTGGCAGGATGAGATGCTTTGCCATTGTAAAATGTCCAAATTGGGTGCAATGTGGCCATGTTGGTGGATGTAAGGTTAGTATTCCCAATGACCACCCAGTAACCACTGTGAAGCCGTTTATTTTAAACATAGGAAGGGAAATTTTTGGCCGATGTCTAACAGAAATGAATCATTCTGATGTCAAAGCCCTTAAAAAGCTTTTAAGGGTAAAATGCTAAATGAGAAAGGAAGTGTCTGTAATCTATGTTTCTTAACAAAACAATTTCTCTTTATTTATCTACTTAGATCATTCTTCTTGGAAAATGACTGAGGTAATTTATATTTCAATTATTATTTTTATCTTGTCTTTTAAAGTCTAAAGTGTTGGTTTTTGCTATAGTTTTAGATATCTTCTGAGAAAAAAAAATATTTTGAACTCTTAAAAAACTTAACCTTTGTAAAATGTAAAATTATCAAGCTTGGATCTACCCACTGGGCACAAAATGGTGTCACCATCTGGACACTAGAGGGTTCACAGCTACCATTATGCAAATCCTATCAAATGGCTCTAATTTTAGAGGCAATGGTAGCCAAAAGAATGGAGAATCTGCCATGTTTCTGGTTAATGAACTCTGACCACACTTCTTTCTTCTGAACATTTCTCAGACAAATCCTTTCCTCCTTGCCTCCCCTCCTGGCTAAATCCTCCCTTTCTAGACTGACCAGTGCATGGGAAAAAATATCTACTTTCTCCCTTTGTCTTGTCCAAAATGATGTACATAAGACATCAATAGTTGTGAAACATTTTTAAGTGCCCTGACAGTGGCCCGCATTCTTGAAAGATTCAGCTTATTAGATTATACAAGGGTTAGGTTTAATTATTATTGGGTTGTTTTATTTTTGCCATGAAAATAGCCATAATCCCCTGCATTACTTAAGTGGCAGAAGAGATTGAAAACTGCACACTCATTCTCTTATGCCTGCCACTGTCAGGTCCAGGGAATCCCATGTTGCACGGTTCATCAACTGTGGCATAAACTGTGTCATCGACTTAACCTATGTAGACGCAGCAGAAATTCTACCTTTCATGTGACAATGATGAATATCCACTTTTTCCTTCTATTCATGTCCTTGACCTAAAATATTAGGGGTGACATATGTGTTACGCTTACTAGCTTTGTGAGGCAGAGACCCAAGTAAAGAATTATCCAGGATTATTGCCTCTGTCCTCTTCATTGCCAAACAGTAAGAGCAGCCCAGTTGATACTTCTGCTGACTGAATGATCTGTTTTTGTACCTACCATCTTTTTTGTACATTAAAGTCCACGAAGGATCTTGAAAATGCAAAGAAAAAAAAATGTGGTGCAGAGAATAAACTTTGGTTTAAGGGTCCAGAGAGAGGCTTTCCTTTAAAAATATTATGTACAATACATAAAAGTAATGATGAAATTCTATCTTTCTCAAATCAATGACTATTTTATAAATATGCATTTAGGAAAGAACTCAATTGCAATTTGCCAAGTTAAACAAAAAAGACACACACATAATGCTTCTAGAAGGAAATGATCTCCAAGATTTCTTATATGGACAGTTCTGAAGAGAACCTTACCAAAGGGTGGTGTGCCAAGATTTTTTTTTCCTAAATGAAGTATAATCATATGTCCCAAGAGGGAGAAAAAAGGAATGTGCAAGCATTTGCTTATGTTAGTTCAATCAGCAGTTACTGGAGGAAGAGAACAGAAAATCAGTAAAGATATCTGTTTCCTGAAAGCAAGCAGAAAACATGAAGGTAAATGTGTTAAGGGAATGTAGACTATTATGTAAACTTCCTTGTAAATTCTGTACATAGTTCATTGAACTGTTCCCTGTGGCGTGGTGGTCCTCTACTTTGGGTGGATATTTGAAAACTCTGAGCATTGTAAATAATGTAAGCTTATAAAGCATTTGCTTTTATTCATGAAGCAAAATGACTAGTGATTTGGACCCAAACCAGAATCTTTTTCAGCTCTTCTTGCTCTTTCTCTGCTGTTTCGTGTGTGCAGTTGTGTAACCCTGCTGTAAGCCAGAGCCAGGTGTCTGTGATCACTGCCTCATGCCCCTATCCCACCAAAAGTGTCAACAGCCATGAGAAGGCTGCAAGCCTGTGGGGCCCAAGAACAGCACACCAGCAGAAACGGGGATGGGAGCAAACTGCTCCTTAAACCATGTCATGAAAAGTAGATGGACATGTTGTTTCAGTCATTTGTGAGTATTCATATCTCCAGATATGGAATTATCCATGCCATTGAGCAGGGTCAGGAATGCTCCAAATCCACAGGTGATCCAAAGCTTCATTTGTGCCAATAGCTTTAGCCTCTAACTTCTCTTCTGCCATGTTTCCCAGAACTTCTCCAAAAAAAAAAATAAATAAAAAAATAACAGTGAATAAAAGGGATAATGTGATCAGGGTAAACAAGCAAATGTCCAAAAGTATAGGAAACGATAGTTGATTCATTTCCAAAAGATCCAGTAGTAACCATGTCATTATTATTTAAAAGTAAAGAGAAATATTGTTATAAACTGGGAACTGAAACAAGAATTTTCAGCTGGGGATAGGGATATGAGTAATATGTGCTAATTAAGCTTAAAAGAAGGTCTGGTAATTAAATGTTCTCAAATATATTTCCCCCAAGTATTTGTATTCTTGAAAAAGTCTTTAGAATGATGGAATATTGTGCTATAAGATGTGTTTCCATGCAAACTGGCAATTCCAGAGAGAGGTGATGGCATGTACAGAAATTCTACAAGTAATCAGGGATAGAAATTGGTTTCCTAGCAATGTGTTAGAGGGAACAGCATCTTTCTTGGAGTTAAGAAATTCGCAAAGTTGGACTTTGGGTCAGTACTCAAAATGCTAGGACAGCATACACGGGGAGCCATCACTGTGAGCCATTTTGGTTCCAAAATGTGCCCACTAGAGTTCACTACTAGTGGAAAAAGAAAAATGACTCATCAGGTCACTTTGTAGGTTAAGAATACATTGTGCTTTTACTTTAACCTAGCTTTTTTTAGATATGAAATCAACTAAAGTGATAGAAAACGTCATTGTTGGAGGCTGTGGTTACACAAGCAAGCACTTGAAAGAAAAGAAAGTTAATAAAAGAATTGCAAACCAAAAAATCCTGAGTTTCTAGAAGGATAAGAGTGAAGAGTTTTGTGTTTATTTTTACTTCTTCCATAGGAAGAATTTCCTAGTTGAATTGAAGAGATCTAACAGTTGGTTAGGGTTTTTGTTGTTGTTGATGTTGTTGTTGTTGTTCTTTTGCCTAATTAAAAAGTCATTGGTATATCAAAGGACTCAGAATAATTTCTGATTGGCCCCTAGAGCCCTTGCATATCCTGGACTCATCAAAAAGGCTTCAGTAAGAATTTAATGTGAGAAAATTAGGTGTATTTCTGAACCAGTTGGGTAAGAAAAACATTCTCCTAACCAATTCTACCTGCACATTCTGTCTTGCAGACAATCAAACAATAAATCAATAGAAATAGATGAAAAAAGAAATAATAATAAGTAGCATGATTTCATTTGCCTTAGGTATACAGGGTCACAGATTATCTTAAAACAATCCCATTCAAAAGCCAAAGGATGAAGAAGGGCAATCAGTCTCACTGCCTGGCTCTTGCTTCTTTCTCAGTTTCCCTTTGAAAAGAAACAAGGAAGATGAGACGTTTCCCAATATATTTAAGTGTGAATTATTAAAATGTGATGTGTATGTGAGTTTTGCAATTTTGGCTTGTGTAAAATACATACCTCTTCTATATTCATTTCTTCCTACACTGTATACCATCCTGCCTCATGTTAATCCAATGAAATTTATTCCTTTTTCTCATTTCCAAACCTCATAAGCTATCTTGTCCATAAATAGCTAAAAGCTTTAATTTCTTTGGATTTACTTCAATTTAATTTACTTCAATTTCTTTGGATTTATCTTCAATTTAATTTCCCACACACAAAAAAAATTAATAATTCCTACTCATTACCTTTAAAAGACCTTTGGAGCAAATTGTAATCAAAGCAACTGTCGTGGGTTATTTTTATTTTCTGTTCCTTATGTAAAGAGTACATGTACTTACTTACATAAGCCTTCTCTCTCCTAGCTTATTCAGAATACAATGGAAACACAAATCATTAGCTCAAATCTAGGGAACTTTACATTTTCTATCCCAGAATTTGAAGGTAAAGCCATCTTCTCACATTACATATGCAGTAACATGAGGAACTCATGCTGTATTAATTCTTCATTGAGCTTATCTACTAATGCCCCCTTTCAGTCTTAATTGTACCAAAAAGTTGAAACTGTATTATTAAATCTCCCAGAAGGTTTTATGGTTCAAGTAACACAACACTGGTTACAGACTGTCCTTTAAGAACTTAAAACCCACTTCATCCTTCCTGTACCTAATTCCTGTTCCAGATTTCTCCTTTTATATGTCCCTTTTACCCATTCCCCCTCATTCTTCTAGCCAGTGTTAAATATTAATTTGTAAATGGGCAGGTCATTGTACAAACTGTCTAAATTAACACCATAAAGTTATGTAGAACTCCTGTTTCCTCTAGACAGCATTTCTATAGAGTTAGAGAACTAATTTTCTAAATATCTAAAATCAGTATACAGTCAAACCTTGAAAGTTTAACAATAGATGAGCTACATGGCAAGAGCAGGGAAATGGAAGACACCTTCCAGTGGATGTGTAGATGGAATCAGTGAATGGAAGACACCTTAGAATTAGAACTGGGACATGGCCTTTGTGTTGTCTCTGCCACCACCTTAGTAAGTGACTCTGGATATACCACCAATGACTTCCACCTTCTCTTCCAGAAAGGTACTTTTAGAGATGTTCATTTGTATGGGAAGCTCAAAATAATATGCAAAAGCACAATGGCCTCTGCTAACATAGCCTCATAAATTTAGTAAAAATCCTTGTAGCTTGTGAGAGTAAGCCATCTGCTATCAAGTGAACTGAATTCAATACTTGTTTATATTCTTTTTAAAAATATCTCAAATACACAATTATGCAGTCAAGTGGTAAAAAAAACAAATACCTTGCTATTTTTATAATGTTCTATGTCATAATATTTTCCTTTAATAGCATCTTTAAGAGAGTCTTAGATAGTGGTGTATAGCAATGTTATCTTGTCACTAATTTTAGATTTCTGGAATATGTAGGTGTCCTTAGGCCATCCTCTGTAATTCAGTCAAGAAAAAGCCATGAAACTCCTCATGGATGGAAAAGTCAATTTCTAGGCGGTATCTAAGTCCAAGTGCTGCCATGCCCTTCTTAATTTGGGACCCTCACTGTGTCCTAAAAGTGGAGTGGCAGGTTTAGTTGTGCTGTCAGACAAGAAGCAGAGGCCCATCTAATTAGAACCTCTCCTTCCCCATGGCTCCAACCCCTCTTGCCCCCACTTCACCAGTTAAGCCTGTGAAATACTCTAGGTACAGCCATGATAAGTGTGTAGTCTGTGGTTTAGCATCTCTGGCTCTTCATATTCTTCAAGCATCATTTCCATTTCAAGTCTCTGAATATGATCCCCAACTTGATTTTTGAAAAGATGTTCCTATTTTTTTCTCCTTCTGTAAAGACCAAATCCAAAACTTTCAGGATTCTTCTAAGAGTCTCCTTACCCTACAAAATAGTTAGGATAGTGCCTAGAAATTCTGCCTTTCCACTGTAGACCCATTTAAGAATGTGGTGAGCTTTTTCTTTCTTCAGCACAATTGGCTTAACATTCTGCCCTTCAACCTCAACCTACAAAGACTATTGTTTAAACCTCCCCCATGCAGAGGTGCGCTCACTAGTCCTCTTTAAGTAGTAAATCTGCTTCGCATCCATTTTACCTAGAGATGGCTTCACATTTAATGGTATGATTTTGAAGACAGAGAAAGCACTAGCCTAAATTCTGACCAAGATGAGGTTAATACTTACTTGGAGATAAATGGAAAAAATATATATGTATACATACATATGTACATATATATATATATATATATATATATATATATATATATATATATATATTTAAGTTGTAGATAAATTAATTAGGATTCATTCAGGTATGAGTCCAAAAGATAAACCTAAGAGGAAATTTTACAGTCAAACTGTTATCTTGTATAACAATAAGTCAAACATGGATTGAAGTAGGATTGTTTCTGAGTTGGTTGTTTCAGTAAGACAATGATCATGTCATCAAGGACTCACATCCCTTCCATAACCATCCTTCCTTCTTCTTCGTATTATCATCACCTGTTTTGGTTACAAAATGACTATGCATACCCCTCCTTACAGACTCATATTGAGAGGCAGAAACTTGGTAAGTTTGGTGTTGGAACTTTTTTTAAGAGGAAGGAAATCTTTCCCCATTCAACATGCCCCAAACAGTCATCCCATTTGTCCCCTTGGCCATGTTTGAATTATACATCCTTTACTATACCAGTCACTGAGAAGAGGAATGGAATGTGAATGCTGTGACTGGCTTACAACATTGACCCTAGAGCTGCCCAATGCCTGAAAAAAACATGGACAAAAAGAAAGAATAGCTTCTGGGTAGACATCCAATAGTGACTGTCATTCATTAGTCTAGGATGTCAAAAACTTGTCTCTATACCCCATTGAATGATTTAGTCTTCACTACAATCCTGTAAAGTTATGATGACAATACCAATATAAAAAATAGAGGCCTAGGGATGGGGATATAGCTTAGTTGCATGTACAAGGCCCTGAGTTCAATCCCCAATACCATAAAAAAAACAGAGGTTCAAATAGGTTGAATGATGTAGCCAAGATCTGAGAGCTAGTCACTGGTGAAGTTAGTATTCACTCTCAGCTTTCTTGGCTCTAAAAGCAAAGTTCTTCCACTCCACTTAAATCTACTGCTTAGATTTAATCCTTTTTACCTTTATCTATGCTTTGGGTAGTTCAAAGATGAGTGGCAAAGAAGAGGAAAGAGGACAGTTGCCACTTCTAATAGCTAAAAACCATGCCCAGTAGCCATTGTGTCCACTTCTTGTCCTCCTTCTTCTCCACTATCACAGCCCCAACCCATATAAAAAAGTATTTTAGTATTGTCTAAGAGAAAGCATAGGAAGAAAGCTTGCACAACAACAGAATAGTCTGATGTATTCCTCAATGCTTTTAAATTAAGGAACCATATAAGCATAAGCGTCAGATAGTCCCAGTGTCACTCTCAAAACGTCCACTTGAATAATAAATTACATGGCCACTTGTGTTAAGGGACCTCAGCAATATGAAGGATGTGGAAAACATTAATAAATTCATATTAACAAATTGAAGAAAATAGGTCTTAGCTCCCTGTGAATCATTTATTACTTCTGACCAGTCCTCCCCACCACTCATGCTCATCTTACTTTTCATTGGTCTCCTTACTCACATTCAAGCAAATGAATTCTCAGGCATTCCCTACCTTCCACTCCAAAGCCACACATCATTCCAAACTCTTCTCATTGCCGTGATTTAAGATTTACATCTTATTTCCATCCCTCAGATATTATTCTTCCTATATCCACTCCCGTGGTGGTTTATAATCAGGACAACACTACCCAAAAATCCATATGTGAGCACCCCTCCTCATTCCATCCCCTCTCCTGCTAACACTCCCTCAATTCTTGTACTCTGCCCAGTAAAATAAGTATTTCATCAGTGTATTTCCAGCAGTTTTGTACAGAAATATTCTGCCACCGTAAATAAAGTATAAGGTCCTTCAGAGTACACTCCCCATTTTCTAATTCTTTGTACTGTCCAAAACATCTATTGACCTGTCCATTGCAGAGTCTACAAATGCTGATTAAATGGCCTACAATGGTAAATATAGCAAGAGAAATGCATTTCCATAACAAGCAATATTTTGAAATTACATATAATACCTGTGGGGATAACTCTCCCCAAAGTTCTTTCAGTCCCATAGAACTGAAACCTACAAACTTCAAATCAATTGTAGTCATCACAGGTGAACACAGTTGGTGTCATGCAGAGTGGTCACCAAGATTTTTTTCCACTTTTTATAATTAAATAGGCTGAATCCTCATAATACTGCCATTCTAGATTCTACCAATTCTGTTAGAATTGAATTTTCCATCCTTATTATTACTGCTTTTTCCTTTTGGAGAAAGAAAAAAATTCTTTAGGTTTCTTTCCCCACCCCCGCTTGCTTTGTTTATCCATGTTCAACTTATTAAAAGCCTTTTAAATCTAGCTTCTGTGGGTGTTTATTCTTGAAGTTGGGAATGGAACATTCCGATGTGAATTCTAAGAGAATACTCCTAGAAGACACTGCATACCAAATTCTATTTCTGCCAAGATATTAGTAGAAGGTTTAGATCTAAGAGAGAGGGTTTTTTTTTTTTTTTGACATTTGTCACTGCTTCTCAAGGCTAAATATGTACAGCAAAATGCCTTTTTAGAAGGCTCTTTAAATTATTAACATTCCTGTCTCCTACTAAGTATTTACTTATTTGCACAGAAGAAATATATAATTTGCAAGCCTTACCTCAGAGTGGCAACCAGCTGCCCCAGTTTTACTAAATAACATATTTTTCTACATGTATTTCCCCAATACATTGAATTACAGTGTATCTGCTTTTTCTTTTTTTAATCGACTCATTAATGATGTGTTTCCTACATGTTTTAAAAATACTCACTGGATAAAGCTTGAAGTATATTATATTTTGCATTGATTCTCCACATATTTTTAGGGAAGCCCCTAGATTATTCTCACTCACTATAGTGCCATGAAAAAAAAGAACTATATATCCAAGTGACCTTTCATACTCAGAATACCACTACTTTTCTACAAAGGGAATGCATATGATTCTATACACATATATTTATTGAGCACGTTACTCACCTCCATACTTTAAAGAGGGCCAATAACCCTCTTGATAAAAACTACTCTGTGGAATTACTACAAGGTCAAGATTGCATGAGGTTTTTGGAAATCAATCCCCACTGATACAAATGTTTACAATAACCAAAAATTCTTTGACATTTTTAAATAAGCTTTTTATTTTTTGACCACCAGGCAGCGTTTTGTGCCATTGTAATGGAAGCCTAATAGCTAATGTGAAATAATGTTAGTGTGTCATTTAAAAGGCTAATGGAAATAAAATCTGGAAAGTTTCATATTGTTAAAATACAAATAAAACTGTTTTTGAAAGAAAAGCATCTGGGTTAAGGATGGCTTCCTTGAAAAATTCTCCTGGCTATCTATCATCTCTGAATAATTATTTTGCTCCTCTTTTCTTTCTGGGAGGGGACTGAACCTGAGGCAAAGACCTTGACACAGTGATTCAGGAGGTTTGGGGAAGCAGGGCTCCTTAGGCTACAGAATAGGAAATGACTATCCTGCCAGCAATGGAACACCTCTTTGGCTATCATTTCACCTGATACTTGATTGAATCCCCAAATTAGCCAATCTTGCCAAACCAATCTTCTGCTATTTTAACTCATAGCAACCTGTACTAAATAGCTGGGGCTTTCAAAAGCAGGTGCTACTTACAAAAGAAATGCGTACCTTCTGTTGCCTCTCAAAATCCGTTATGCTAAACTCGCCAAATATGTCAGAGGATATTGTTACGTGTTTTATTCCTTGTGTTTTTAAGTCTCCACTAATCAATTTTGCTATCTACCCTCCTACCAAATGTGATTTAGCTAATCCATAATCTGATTGGTATTGCAAAATTCTTGTAAATAAAGGAATTCCTTTCTCTTTATTTTTCAGAAGGCAGAATCTCTTTCATTGAAAAGAAACATAAATAATATTTGAATATTTCTTTTCACATAAGCATTTTCTTTCTTACATGAGCAGATAATACTTTTGTACACCTACCAGACCACTAAAGAAGCTAAATGGTAAGAATAAGTATTTCTGGAAACCTGTAGAAATTTTTTAATGAAGAGAGACAGGTTTAACAAATGCCAAGAAAGAAAATGGTGGACTCCTTACTTTTATAATTCAAGTTTTCTATTTTGTATCAATATATGCTGCATTTTCTGATTGAAATTGCCATTCTGTCTAATGATATTTGTGACTTTTCTGTAGTTGCTTTTTACATTTGAAATCAACCTTTCATACAGCGTGTACTTTTCTGCATCCTTTCTGTTAGGGACTTGATTAAATTATTGTTTCATTAATTCCTTTTTATGTGCTTAAAGTATGTAATGTTATGCTTTCATTATCTCAAAATCTGTGGAGAAAATCCATGAAGCCTGTAGACTGTGATTTATACACATGAAAGAAGACAGATTTCCCTTAGGCTGTGAATTAGTGAATAACAAATTGTTCAGTGGCCTCTGATCCTGACCCTTTTTCCCTTCATGGCCTTTTTTCTACAATTAGTCATTCATTGAGTAAGTGTGTACTCTTGTAAATGCAAAATCAATTTACATGCAATCAGGTATGGACACAAGAAATGCTTGTGCTCTCGATTTCAGGACTCACAGATAACCCTAACAGTCACAGGACTGACCACAATTCACTAAATATTTTTGTTATTAATGTGGCTTTGCTATAAAATAAGTTGCTGTTTGCTTTGGTACAAGGTTTTAATTGTTGCAGCAAATGAAAGAGAAAACACTTATGAAAGGCTGGTGTCAAAAAACATCAGCTGTACTTGTAAAAGTAATTGTGCAGCTTCTGAAATGTAGCTTATTACTGTAAATATGTACAATTTATGTCAGCTTGTTTATTTCAAAACCACAAATAAAAAATTTTTAATGAAAAATGCCTATATATAAAAAGCTTACTTTGTACTGTTTTAAACATGCAAGATTTCAGGTATATCATTTTATAATTCTTAAAAATGTTTAGCATTCTGAATTTATCAATTCAGAGCTGAGCTTTTATTGTAAAATTTAATACAAAGTAAATTCCTTCAGTTGGAAGGAATTCTTTGCAGGATTATCCAACAATCAGGGAAAAAGAGGGACCAGCACTTTTCCAGGAGCTTGTTTCTGTATCACTTTGAGTTTTTAAAAAATATTCATATAAACATGCCTTACAAACATTTGGACAAATGGAATATTTACATATCAGGAAAAAAATGAAGAAATAAAGTCTTATTTTCAAACATGATATTTAAAACTAATTTAACAGCACCCATTTGTGAGGTGCATTGTGTCAAATTCTTTTAAAATCTCCAGTGTAAATACGAATATTGGAGTTGGCCTATTGGTCAGTCTTTCATCATTTGAAGACCTCTAACTTGAAACTCATTCTCTCCCCTCAGAAACAATGTGTTCACAATAAAGCAATGAGCAGACTAAAGGTGTGAAGTTCATTTATCCATTAAGTATAGTTAGTAGAATAGCTTTCCAATAGAAGTCTAAATTCTAGCAAGGAACAACATTAGCATCCATCTACAAAATAACTGGGAACCACCACTTCATCAGCTGGACCCCTGCCTGCAGGGCTACTTTTTGACGCATTCAATACTGGCAACTAAATCCAGAAGACTATGTTATATAATGGGAGAAGTAAATGGACATTTGATTTTATTTACAGTAGAAAAACAAACAGAAAAAAAAAATATATATATATATATGTATATATTTAAAACATGTTTAGCATTAGCTATTTGAGTAAGAAACTTAACTAAGACAGGTGTTTAACATCTAACATCTTCCTAAAAAAAAGAAAACAAAGTCTTTATTAATTCAACAAGAAGTTAAAAGTAATCATGCCAGGGCATTGTGAGAAGGGAAGGGCAATGATATCAAACAAAGCTTCTCAGCCTCAGAGAAAATTACCATTTAGATGGCAAAAGACTAGCTAAGAGCTAAGGGCAAACCAGTGCATCCACATTCACAGCAATTATGGAATGGCCAGACAGAACTAGGTAAAAGACTTGGTCATCTGCTGGTGTGCACGAGGGTTCTCTGGACAACTGGGAGATTTCCTGTATTTGTGCAGTCCATGTATCTGTGCTGCCACAAGTAACCAAGTAATTTCACTTCTGAGGACACTGCTTTATTTCCTTTAATTTTTGAGTCTGAAAAATTTCAAACATATCCACCACCCATATTATATGACTATCAAGTGTCTACAACTATCAAAGTCACATTAGGGTTATATAACCAGTTCTTTTTTTTTTTTCCTAAAGCAATTTACATCAAATCTTAAATAATTTTCATTTCACTTATACACATTTCTATAAATTATGGGCATAAAAATCTAACCATTATGATATTCATAGCTAACAAAAAATAGTAATTTTTTGGTATCATTAATGCCAAGTCCCTATTCACATTTTCAATTGCCTCAAAAAATGCCTTTTTCATCCAGGCACAGTGCTGCACACCTATAATCCTAGTGACTCAGGAGGGTAAGGCAGGAGCCTCAGCAACTTAGTGAGGCCCTGTCTCAAAATAAAAAATATAAAGGACTGGGGATGTGGATCAGTCACTGCTTAAGCACCACAGGGTTTAATCCCTGTAGTAAATAAAGGCCTTTTTTACAGCATTTCCCCCACCCAAATGTGGAGCCAAACATAATCTTCCAGTTGCATTTGGTTAGACCGCTTTAACATGTTTAGTTTTAATATGTAGTATTAAAGAAAAACTCATAGCACTGAAAAAAAATGTACTTTCAAAAAGACATTGTATAATTATCATAAAACAGAAATAACCCAAAAGATATTATTAAAATATACTGAAAAAACTTTTCTAATATAGAAATATTTGATCTTTGAAATGAAAGCATTTTTAAAGACAAATTATAAAAATGTTCAAAAGATGAACTGCTTTGTATCAACATGCACCGGCATATAATCTTTTTATCTGAAAGAAGCCCATGTGACTCAGAACTTTTCCACTTTCTCAACTGACTCCAGTATTAATAAATAAATAAGACCCCAAAACAAAGACATCTCCAAGAATGACAAGTTCATGTCAGGATTTACTAGTAGCATGTAAACAAAAGGCAACAATTCCTTATCTAAGCTCAGAATTTCCTTCAGAGGAAAATCATCCATTTATCACACATACTAAAGAAAAAAACAAGGGGCTATAGATGTCAATCTTAGAAGTGCATTAAACCTATGAATGTTTCTGTCATATATCACCTTCTCCACAAGGGTGTTAGCTAAAAAGTTAACCCCTTTTCAAAGAAACCAGTATTCCTAACAGAAACTTTAGCTTTATTATAACACAAATGTTAAACAAATACAACCTTACCTATTCCATTCACTGAGTATGTACAGCATTGTTGTTAATATATTTGCATTTGCAAGGCAGGCTACCACAAGTTGGCTGCTTTTGCTAAACAGACTGGAACTGAGACTCAGCCTGAAGGGTACAGCCCAGCAGCACATAATCTGTACCCCCTAAGAACATTATTCTCTGGATGTTTAGCTTAGTTTCGAGTTAAGTTTAAACCTGTTCTCTTTAAATGGGTTTTAAATATTTTTAGGATGCTTTTCTTTAATTAACTCCAGAGATAAAATAAAATGCTACATATTCAGCTCTATTTTTTAACCTCAATTTTAAGATCTAATGTCATCAGGATATAGTTACAGGACAAATAAACATTTGATTCTATCTTCCCATCTTCTCTAATACAGACAAAAATAAAGAATTAATATACTTACACAATCTTATAATTTACTGTCCACATTTCTTAGGCACTCACTTCATAATAAAGTGGTAGCAAGACGGAATGGGAACTCTCACACACTATAAAATGGTAAAATCACTTCAAGAAACAGTTTGGCAGTATCTTGAAAAGGTAAATATAAACCTACCATATGACCCAGGCATTTCACTCTAAAGTATTTACCCCCAAGAAGTAATGTAGCATTGTGATTACATTGTGAAAATTTTGTTCTTAAGAAATGCATGCTAAAATACCTTGGTAAATTGTGATGATTTCTATAATTTTAACTAATTCAGCAAAAATAAAATTGTATTATATATAAAGTTCTAATAATACATAAATAAAATATATATAGGGGCTGGGGTTGTGACTCAGAGGTAGAGAGCTTGCCTGGCATGCGTGGGGCACTGGGTTCGATCCTCAGCACCACATAAAAATAAAGATATTGTGTTCCACCTATAACTAAAAAATAAATATTAAAAATATACAAATGTATATAATATATACTATATGTGTATATGAGTATACACATATAATATATATCAAATATTGCACAATGTTAATTCTATGGCACCTTGACTAATATATACAGTTGTTCATTGTACTATTTTGCCCTTTCTGTTGTTTAAAATTTTGCATCATTAAAGAGTTTCTTTCTAAATTAAAATAAGTCAAAGGAAAACAAAACAAAAAAATTATCAAACTGAATAGATTAAATAATGACAGTATGTAGTTTGCCGATTAGATTTCAATAAAGCTGTTGAAAATGCCAATGGAACAATACCATGTGGTGAGAGAAGGATTAAATAGGGCAAGATTTTTTTTCTTGTGAAGGAGAATCCTGCCTAGAAAGATGCAATTCAGAAGAGGCCCCAAGAGCAGTGGTACTCACAGTGCTGGTCTGCAAACTGTTACTGGTCCAAAATGACCTAAGATTTTGCACAAGAAGGTAAATAAAAAACTACACTAAGCACACTCACTGTTTACTTCAGCTGGTACACTTTTCATAACCAAAATGTCTAGATGAAGCGAGCACCAAACACATTATTAACTCTTCTGGACCAAGCTCCTTTTCTAATTGCTAACTTATAATGACTGGCATAGTACACAGTACACAGACACATTTTGAGTAATACTGCTTAGATCACACTCACATATTTACTAAAATGCTCTAAGTCTATCCTCACCTGTATGATTAGAGGTGAAGATATGCTTATCATCCTTTCATCCTCTGGACATCTCAAAGGATAGCCTGACACTTTAATGCACCACAAAGCTTGCAAATAGTAGACACGACTTAATTATGCATTGCTGACTTCTGAATATATAGAAAGTTATTTGAAACAAAGTAATACATAAAAATGAAATATGACACTTTTTATTTGTTCAGAATACTTATTTTTAAAGTTAGCTGAGGTTAAAAATTTTCTGTTTTCCACTGTATTTGTAACATCCAAAAGTGTTAAGTTCATTATTAAGAATTTATAACAAAACGGGACCTGTAGATAGTCTTACCTGATACCCCAATAACAATATATACACTACACAATGACATCTAATCAGAACATAGTCTCCCAACCAGACATGGAAATGCAGAAATAGTAATGTTATTTTCATTTCTGTGTGTTCCAGATTTAATTCATAGAATCTATAAACTCACATAAATTTTGAATTATTTTGTTTTTTCATGTCTGATAAAGACCCTTTCTCTAAGAAATTTTATATTTTATAATCTTTTCTTTGAAATATGAGAAAGATATGAAATCTCCTGAGTTATAAATGCAGCTTATACATTCTTTTAAAAAGTTATTCTTAAATATCACAAATTAATTATATATCCATAATACATGTCTTTCTAGTCACATAATTTTTAAGCAATATTCAAGTATGTTTGTGCTTCTGCATGTTTACATTACTTTATAAGCTATTTTTACCTTTCAATAAAATTTTATCTACACAAATTTCTCAAATACTTAATAAATGAGACAAAACAATCATTATGAAAATATAAACTGCAACTACATCTTTTTCATCTTTCATTTTGTCTATTTCCTATCTACCAAGTAATTTCCTGTTCTTAGGGAGGCTGGTAGACTTTTATCTTTCAAATCTCAGCTCTGCTGCCCTCTCAGCCTGGTGTAGAGTCAATACATCTCAGGGGTCTTGAACACACAGCATTCACTCTCCCATATCAAGTGTTGCAGTGACATCTGATAGCTTTGGTAGCCATTATTTCCTGTTATTTCAACTGCAGGACCACCTTAAAACATAAATTAGAAAGGAAAATATCAGGTTATACTAGAATGATGCTGGTGTATGCTAAATAAAATGCTCTGGAGTCTGTGAAGAGGAGATAGATAATTAGTAACAGTAACTGCTGGTCCCTGCCTGACAGAGTCTGTGGCTCCACCACACCTACTCCACATATTTCAGCCCCATCCAAAGGACAACCACCCCTGAACTACCAATTCGGTTTCTGAGCCTATGAACCAATCATGAGGAATTAAAATGTCTAAATAACTGCAGAGTATGGAAAAAAAAGTTGGAATTTATCAGTTTTTTTTTTAAAAAGGTGGGACCAGGAAGTATACTGGCAGCCAGAGAAGTGGGTAAGAATAATTAAGACTTAATCACTGAGACTACATCATATGAGACACTGCTGAGGAATAATGAAGGAATATACATATACAAGGATCATTAGTGTTATTTCTTCTTCACAGCAATAGTTTCTGCTGTTTAAGTATTATCTTTTGCATTTATTAAATACTAGTGGTTATTGTTATTTAGCCACTGCTTTGTAAACATAAAATTTTTACACATTCACTACTTCTATCTCATCTTAACCTGATTTTGTCATAATAACTACATATCGTATTTTATCTCCCATACTTAGAGGATTACAAAAGCAACTTTCTTTCATTTTTCCAGTTAAATCAGTTAAATAAGACATTATTTTTCAGGACTATAACTATTTTTAATCCTAAAAACTCTTTAGGACCAACTAATTTCATAGTTTCAATGTAAAAAAAAATTTAATCATTAATGAGCATTAAAGCAAAGCAAATCCATCTGTTAAAAATAACATAATTTTCTTTCAAAAATAATTACTTGGTAAGTTATGCCTCAAATTAAATACCAATTACAATTAATTCAGTGTCTAAAACTAGAGATCAAGTTTATGAACAAGTATCTTCTGTACTCGCATAATATCAGGGAACAGAAAGACACTAAGAGTGAACCCAAAGTTTTTCTTTTATTGCTCCACATGTAACAATCAAAACTTAAAAAATTTAATCTAAATGATAAAATTAAAACAAATACCTTATTAGCTGCTTCCAAGGAATTTATTAGATTCTGCAGCTCTTCTTTACTCATTTCAACCGAATATGGTTTTACTTCACCATTTTCTTTTACATCTAGATGAAGGTTTAAGAGTGGCATTTGTAAAGTAGCAATCTTGTCACTAGAAAGTGCAAGCTGTTCAAAATGAGGAAAACAGTAATTAATAAATACTATAAGGGATGATACCAAGTATGCATCAGAGCTTATAAACAAGACATTTTTAAAAAGAAAACAAACTCATTTCAAAACAATACATATTTGAAGCATAGAAAGAGAAAGAGAATAAATGAAAGAGAGGAAGTAGGTAGGCAGGGACAACCAGTGGCAGGAGCTTAGTCTGGCTTAACAAGTTACACTTTCTTTAGGATTGTAATTATTGTTTTAATCATAAGAATTATCAGGAGTACAGAATGGGTCCACTGCAACAAGAAACAGAACTCTTAAAGAAAATTAAAGATACCAAGATTATTACTATTGGTGTATACAGATAAATGAGACTAAAAATGCTGGTAAAATCTCAAATTAAGATGCTTAATTACTTCATCATCAGCCATCTATTAAACTATTAATAAATGTCATCAACATATTATTCCCAATTAGTACCACTCAACAAAACCATACTTAGTTTCTGTCTTCAGAGTGTGTGTATATCCTACAGAAATTGAGACTTAAATACAGTATTTATGGTATTAGAACTTTTTGAAACAAGTGCTGTAGCTTCATTTGAGATAACAAAGGGAAATTCAATTATCTGGAATCTGAGCCAGAAAACCCTACAATCTTTATTTGGAGTACTCCCTTTTAGGGATGCACGGGGGGGGGGGGGGGGCGTTAGTTGTGTAATGGTAAGGAAAAACATTCCCTAACAAGCAACATCAAAGTACCTTTCTTGGGGTACCAGAGGAGTTAATCCTCACATATCTCCATTCTCTCTCCCCAAAATAGTACTCATAATATGTGGGATTTTGGAAGTCTCACTTCTGGTTGTCTACCTTACAGATAATTTTCCTCAATATTTTCAAAAGGTAGTTTCTCACCCTATGTCTGAATACCACCAATGATGAGAAGCGAACTACCTCAAAAAGTGGTTAGAATCACTTCCAGATACTCATAGTTGTTAAGTTCTTCCTTGGATTCAATTCAAACCCATCTTACTACAAATGATACAGTTTTGCCCTTGTCCTAGTCTCTGGAGTCATTGAGCACACACTTATTCCCTTATCCATGACTTTTGGATTTTTGAAAATAACTATTGTGTTTCTACTAGATTTCATCTTTTCTAGGGACATGGTCTCATGAGTTTTAAACCAATTTCACAAACCATTATTTTAAATTTCTGGTCAGTCTTTTCTAGCTGAGAAAAAAAAATTGGAATTTGTTCAAATATCTCTTAAGTTTGGTGGCCAGAATTTTTAAAAAATTATTAAACTAACTAAAAAGATTTAATAGCTAAAAACAGAATCTATGAGAACGATCCCTTGCTTGAAACACTGCATTTCTATTAACAAACCATACTGAACCAACATCAGTTAAACTACATTTTGGTAAACCAAAACCACCAAAGATTTCTCATACATGCTGCAGTTAGCATTTCTACCCTATCTTTCATATTTATAAAAACATAAATCCATTTATTTAAATGAAAAATCCTCTACTTAGATGATCACTGATTAATTTATTTTGCTTCATTTGGTCCATCAGTATAATAAGAAGTAAAATAATTTTAAACTTTGATTATATATTTACTATATCTTTCATGTCACTCTCCAATTTGATTAGCATAATATTCATAAAAATGTTAAAGAAGGCTGGGCCAAGATCAGAACCAGACTTTCTTGTCTAATACAATTCATCTACCTTTGTATAGTTATGTACACAGTTACAAACCCATCTGTGTTACGTTCCCAACTTTGTCTCCCGTTAGCCTCAAAGACAATAGGAGGCACTTTATCTAGGATCAAGATAAAAATCAAGGAACACAATATATTTGCTTTCTCCTCATCTACGGGTCTAAGTCCTTTATACAGGATGGGAAATTGATCTGTCATTGCTCTTTACTAACCATACTGGTCATGATTATCTTCAAAATATTTCAAAACTACTGTTTTAATAACACATCATAGATCTTCCTCCCAGAAGTAGAATCACATTTATCAATCTTTAGAATGCTATAAAGTCTAGAAACCTCTAGCTAAATATATATGGTGAATATATATATTGCCACACTATTTATGATTTACAGGTCTTAAAAGATTTATAGGTATAATTAAATTTACTATTAATGCATTGTTACTGTTAATGGTTTCTTGGAGTATTTTACACCCAAGCTAACGCAAAAGATGTAACTTAAATCATTTTTGATATCTCTTTGGAACAATGCCTTTTTAAACTAAAAGAAATTTTAGATATATATTATAAAAAATAGTTCCCTATATACAAAAAAATGAAACAAAAAACATATATACAAAGATTTCTCAAACATGCTGCAGTTAGCATTTCTACCCTATCTTTAATTCTCACCTTTAACTGCCAATCAAAATCCTGTAACTGGGCAGAAGAAATATCAACTATTTCTCTTAAAAGAACTTGCTTGATTTCATTTTTCCTACTTTTCAAGCATTTCATGATAGCTTCTTGATGAGATGAATTCAAATGATTCAATTGCTGAAGTGTCTACAAAAATAAAAATAAGTGGTTAGAATACACATGAAAGGGTCTTTCTGCTTAAAATGTAACATAGTTCCACTCTTCCATCACACACCTTTTTAAAATGATAGTGAATGAAAAAAAGAAATAATATTTTTATAATCATGCAAAGAATAAGATGAGACTGGATAACCAGCAAATAGGTTTTAACAAATTCCTATAAAACAGAAAGCAAAGAAAAATGGCTGACTGATAAAGCAGCATGGAAGTAAATACACCTGAGAGCAAGAAAGCTGACTGAGCTCAACTAAAGCACCAAACAACACTGCTCTCAAGGCAAGAAGCATAATAAGAAATAGAGAATAGTAAAATGGCCATTCAACAGAAAGACCTAACAGTAATAAATTAATGTGTACATAATAGCATAGCTTCAAAATAGAGCAGCAAAACATGGCAGTTCTAAAAAGTGAAAATTACATTCATAATGAGAAATGTTATCAGAACTCTTAGTAACTGTCAGAAAAACATTTTTTAAAACTTAGCAAAGATAGAAAAGATTTAAAAACACTATTTTTCCACTTAATCGAGATACAGAATGTTGTACCTAACAAGTGTTAAATAAATAGTGTTTTCAAATGTTTATAGAAGATTCACCAAAATAAACCATATGCTGAGCCATTGTAGCAAACCATGAAGGACTGAAATAATACTGTTTGAATTTTTTGATTACTATAGAACTAAATCAAAACTGGTAAGATTACAAATGTTTCCAAGTATTCAAAAATTAAGCAACTGAATTCTAAATGAATAGTCACAAAAATTCTTCCAGAGAACAGGAAAACGAAAAAATGCTTCCCAAACCCATTCCATAAGCCCAGAATAAAATTTGATAAGGGAATTTCAGAAAAAGAAAAACCACAGGCCATTCTCACTCAAATATAGATGCAGAAAACCTAAACAACATATTGGTGTATCAGAACCAAGAAATACATGAGAAAAGAATACATCCTGACCAACTAAAATTTATTCTGGCAAGTGAAGTTTAAGTTTAGTTTAACATTCAAAGATAATCACCACATTAACAAAATGAAGGTGAAAAAATAATAAGTTCAGAAAAAAACAGTTAATAAAATTCAATATCCATTCATGTTAATAAATTATCAGCAAAGTTGGGAATATAAGAATCTTCTTTAATCTGAAAATTCTTATATAAAGCGATACAGTTAGCATACTAAATGGTAAAAAAGTATTTGCTTTCTCCCTAAGGTCAGGAGTAAGATATGTCTACTATCACTGATTTTTGTTTCCACCCCCCCAACACTGTCCTAAAGGTATTAGCCAATGTAATAAAGTAAGAAAAATAAATAAAAAGTATTAAAATTTAAAAAGAGAGTCATATAAATCCTCTCACCCTTAAAAACTTTGAATAAGATCTACAGGACTAAAGAACATCAAAAACATCACTTAATTAAAAATAAATACCAGAAATATTGGCAAGATCTCCCTACTAAAAACTATAAAACAGAAAGAGACAAGAGTAAAACTAATAAAATATAAGAAAGGATATCCTACTTTCACAGATTGACTAGAAAATTAAATATTGTTATCAATTCTCCTCTAAAAGACATAGAGATTCAGTGCAATACCCATTAAAATGCCAACAGATATTTTGTTTTTGTTTTTGTTTGGGGAGGGCTGGTTAAAACTGATAAGCCTATTCTAAAATGTACACAAAGACAAAGAGGATGTAGACTAGCCAAGACAATCTTGAAGAAACAGAAGTTGATATCTTATACTAGATATCAAGACTTAGTGTAGTTTTAGTGTAGTTTTATCTCTGTAGTAATTTCAGCAGTGCAGAACTAACAAATAGAGACAATGTAATACAAAAAAGAGTCCATAAATAGATCCCCTCACAGGGCGACCTGATTTACCACAAAGGTTGCACAGTAATACTGTGAAGAAGGATGCTCATATCAATAGAAGGTAGTGAGTCAAATGTATATTCATACAGAAAAACTTGAACTTAACCCATCCTCCATATACAAATATTAATTCAAAATTTATCAGTGATACAAATATGAGAGCTAAAACAATTAAGCCTCTATGAGAAAACATACAGGGATCTCTTCATCTCTTCCAGGCAAATATTTCTTAAGTAGGTCAATGACAGCACTAACCACCAAAAAATAGGAACTTGACTTGATTAAAATTCAGAACATCATAAAAAAGACACCACTAAGAGACTGAAAAGTCATGTAATAAAGATATTTAAAGTACATACATACATCTAACAACTCATTTCCAGAGTTTCATTCTAATCAATATGAAAATAAACAGAACTCCAATCTCTTAAAAAAATGAGCAACATATATAAATATGTCCAAATGATCTTTGACAAAGATACAAAAGCAATTCAATGTAAGAAGGCTCTCCCACAACCCTGCAATTTCACTTCAAGACGTCTACTGTACAAAAGCTGGCGTAGGCATGTACAAGGAGACAAATACATCTGCAGCCAGCACCACCTAGAGTAACCAAAGAGGCAACAACCTAAGTGTTAGCAGGGGCATAAATAAATAAAATTTAATTCCTATCAACCAACAGTACAAGGAGATGAAACATATACACTAGATTCACGTTCAACAAACAACAAGATAAATCTAAAATACAATATTACATCAAAAACAATTTTCAAATGAATACACACTATCATTTAAAAACCATACACTTAAACATACCAAATAATTGCACACGCTGCTTAAAAATGTGAACGTACATACAATATGGAATACAAAACATGACCACCACCATCAAGAGTAGTGATCTCGGGGTAGGGGTTTGTGGCTCAGTGGTACAGCACTTGTCTAGCACACGTGAGGCAGTGGGTTCCATCCTCAACACCACATTAAAAAAATAAAAAATAAAATTAAGTCATTGTGACCATCTACAACTGAAAATAAAAAACGAGTAGTGATCTCTAGATGAGAGTGGCATATTCTATTGAGGAAGGAGAGTATTTAGGTTATCTGTTAAGATTTATTTCTAAAACACATAATCCAGAAACATACAAAGTAAAATGTTAAAAATTATTTAAACATGTTTCTGGAGACATAGGTATTGGTTATCTAACTTCTTATTTTCTTCTAAATGCTTTAAATGTTTCACAACTAAAAGAGTAACAACAAAACAAAAAGAATTAACAACCAAAAAAGGGCCAAACACCAGAAATTCCTCAAAAAAGATTTTTCATTTACTTACAAATTATGAGGTTTTGCTGTTAAATTCAGTACTTACCAATAATGGCCCTTGTATTATATGGTGCTCTAAAAACCAACTTAAAAAAAAAAAAAAACTTTAAAAACTAAAAATATCTGGGCATTATTCATTATGAGGTATAGAGATTTAGAGTGAACTTACCTCTTCATCAGATAAATTTTTACCAACAAGAGCTTTAAAAAATTTGGTAACATCTTCTAAAACATTCATCCATTCTGTTGAATCCCAAACACTGTGGTAGTCCTGGTAGAGAGGATAAGCTCGACCACAGAAGCCATCAATTATTTTGTGAAGTAGCTAGAGAAGAAAAAGGAAAATAAATGTACTTATCAGTAAAATTATAATGGAATTCTCTTCCTCACAGAAAACAAATGTTGGAAGACGTTCCTGCTATCTGCAAGAGCAGCTGAGACAGAACTATAATCTTTTTAAGATTATTCTTATAAATTAAAAATTAGAGTTCTCCAAAAATCCTAGACTTTCCCTTATTATGTCCACCTTCAGAAGCTTAAATAATTTTAAAGATATAGTGTTATTTTTTTCGATATTCCCGGAAGGAAGATGGTTTATAAAAATTTCACCTAAGGATCCTTACACATATTTATATCCATGAGCAAAGGGCATGCCTTTTTCATTGAAGTCTTTTATTGTAGCTCTACAATCTTCATTTTGCTTTGCCCCCATTTTCACAACAAATTTACTATTTTTGCTCTATTCCAAGAAGACCCTCAGAAACGTTTTTTTCCTTTTTTGAATTCCTCTCCATCTACCTTAATTATCAGTAATTGAAATTCCAACACATAAATAAAGACTGAGTTTTAGAACAAAATTAGCTAGTGTGAATTTTAGTCCCACTACTTGCTAGTTTTATTAAAACATTTTGTGTCTCTGCTTCCTCAAGTGCAAAATAAGTATATCATCTACCCTTACCATGCTACATGAATTCCATAATACATGCAAATCACATTGCATATTCTTGGTAACATTACTAAGTCTCTATTATTCTTATATTTGCTACTATCACTCTTAAGATTATTCACGCCTTCAACATATTTGAGTACCTACTATGCCAGAACTATTCTAGGCAAAGATTAATATGATTATTTCATAAGATATCTGAATCTTATAAAAGCAATATCTGAATTTGCATAACTTGGAAATAGAATTTTAGTGACAAATCTTCCAACTCTTTCTCTCCTGGAGCATATTCTTCTCCATTTTAAGAAATAATTCTTTCCCCATAAAATCATGTGTATTTGAACAGAAATGAGCAACTTCTATTTCCTCACAATAGCTAATGCATGATAAATCGGATTTTTATGTACCATAAATCAACCAACATACTTGATTTAAAATTCATTCCAATTTCTGTACATATATTCCATTGTATCCTATACTATCCCCATGCTTAAGCAAAACCCAGAACTCGAACTGAAAAGTAAAGGTGCTACATTTTTTGGAAATTTTTAAAATGAATTCATGTAATAAATACTATATTGCAGTTATTCACTAAGGTAATGGAAATACAAAGAAAAGATAACGATAATAGCTACCATTTGTGGACCCCTAAGCACTATAGTGATCCTCCACTACAATAATGATTATTGCCATTTTACACATGAGAAAACTGGGAATAAATAAGATGAGGCCCTACCATAACAGGGTTTTAAAAGTCTATTTCAAAAAAGCAGATATTTTAATAAATAAATAAGTGTATTTAGAATAACAGGGGCTATAACAGAAGTTTATAGAAGATGCAAAAGAGCAGGGAGAGGAAGCAAGGAAGAGGCTAAGTCTTTTGTTGTTGCTGTTGTTCTTTCTAGGTGTACATGACAGTAGAGTGTAGGTTGATACATTATACATACATAGAATAATTTGTCCCATTTAGGATTCCAATATTGTGGTTGTATATGATGTGGAGTTACATTGGTCATGTATTGTGTATATAAGGATAAGAAAGATATGTTCAATTCATTCTACTGTTTTTTTTTTTCTATTCCCATTCCCCTCCCTTCCCTTCATTCCCTTTTGTCTACTCCAATGAACTTCTAATCTTTCCCTCCCTTGCTGTGGGTTAGCATCCACATATTAGTGAGAACATTCTGCCTTTGGTTTTTAGGAACTGGCTTATTTCACTTAGCATGATATTCTCCAGTTCCATCCACTTACCGGCAAATGCCATACTTTCATTCTTCTTTTATGGCTGAGTAAAGATGAGCAGGTGGCCAGGCAAGCAGAAACAAGAAAGGCATTTGCCATCACAAGCAACTGGACATACATAGGATGAAAGTGTAAAACACCACTGCTGGACTTGGGATTAGGGGGTAATTTGTGAGGTAGGGAAGGGTGAGAGGAGACAAGGCTAAAAAGGTAGGTGGGGTTCAAATCATAGGAGGTCTCACACACAATGCAGAAGAGTCCAGGCTGCCATCTGTGCTCAACATTCAATGGGAAGCAACTAATTTACATGTTCAATAACAGGATAGGAGCTATAACGAGAGAAAAAGAGAAAGAATAGACCAAACCCAACCCCACGACTCTCCACACCCCTCCTCTTCAGTTTATGACAAGAAATTAAAGGAACATTAATTGTTAAGGACACTCAAGATGAGGCAGTAGAGGAGTAAAAAAGATGTGAAGAGAGAGGCAAGGATGAAACATAGAATTTCAAGTTGAGTGACTGGGTACATATCACCAAGCAAAAATAAGGCAGTAGAGGGAGTAGGACCCCAGGAGAGGAGCTCAGCCAAGGACACAATGAATTTGTGATCACTGTAGCAAAAGCCTGACTCTCAAGGAAGAAATTTTGGATGGACCCAGCAATTTAGGAGCCACCAACACTTCTGGTAGTAAAGGTTATGGACCTTATCTGAGAAGTGGATAGAATGAAAGCAGGAGAGTGGACGGTCAGAAGGCTCAGTCAATAGATCTAAGCAAATGTTTCAGTTTTACCATTTACTGGCTGAACAATCTTGGAAAAATTGCTAAAATCCTCTGTTGACATTTCAGTTTCTTCATTTGTAAAACCACCCAAGAGTTACTTGATTTTCTTGATCCTGGCAGAAGAGAAGTTAATTTCCTTGTTTCCCCTCCACTCCCCACTATAAATGGAACAAAGGAGAAAGAAAGGCCAAAACTGCCATCATAAAAGATGCTCCAGCAGGACACAAGCCATGTCTCCTCCCCGGTTTACTCAACCCATCAGGATACTCAATCTATTGTACACTTCAACAGAAAACTTGCTGAACAAATAAGCCAGTTCTTCATAGACTGGAGGTGTCAATAGATACTTCACCTCTTGAGACCACCCTCACTGGTTATTTTTCATCCTTGGTAGTGCTTACTTAGTTTTTTGTTTTGTTTTGTTTTGTTTTTCTGTCGCCCTCAAGGTGGCAGGGTCGGCTCCAAGTCACAACATATCCCTAGCACCCAGCAAAGTATCGGATGCCTAGAATGCAGGCCTCCCGGAGGTCTGTGTTTAATGAATGAATGACGTGTGCAGGAGGAGGTTGCAAACCACCGACTCCACAGCAAAAGCTTTCAAAGAGTTTTGGCCACTACTCGGCACAGATCAGGAGCCCCGGACCCCTGGGAGCAGGGGCTCGGGAGGCATGGTACCACATCTGCACGGAAATCCTTTAGGGCAGCTGAGCCAAGCCTAAGAGCCAACGTGGCGCCCCAAGCTTCGGCCTCCCAGGGTCCTCAGAGAAGGCTAGGACCCGGCCACTAGGAATTCTGTCCCTTTTCCCCACTTCCCCGGGGAGCCCGCGAAGGCGCCTGGGTGGCACTCCGCCGACCTGTGCGCCAGGTCGCCCCGCAGCCGGGGCCGCCGCCGCTTACGCCCCCCTCACCTGCGCGCCCCGCTCTGGGGGCAGCTTCTGCAGCCGCCACAGGGGCGTCCCCTCTTCCGGCTCCATCCCTGTGCAAAGCTGGGACTGGGTCACGTGACCAGGCCGAGTCTCGCCGCCGCCGCGACGGTCCTCCCACGTGATTCTCTCTAGGGTGGGGCGGGGCGGGCGCAGAGCCACAGAAGTCCTTGTGCGCGTGCGCAGAGACACGGCCACGGATTTCCCGTAATCAAGCGGAATCTTTCCCTTGTGGTGGGACCTTGCAGGCGCACCCTCGCGTTGCTCTCTGGAAGGTAGCTTCCCAGGTCTCTCTCAACGCGGTTGTGCCTGTGCCCATTGAACTTTCGGCTGGCTCTTTAGAAAACCGTCTGTGTGGGTAACCATATACTGTATTTGATTGAGCCCAAGACAATTAATTGCCCCAGAATTTTGATATATATCGCTTATTAAAGCATGCTGACTTAAGGTCTTATCCTAAACAAGGTCTTTTATGTAGATTATCTTAAGAAGAAGGAACAATTTTCATCCCCATTTGTAAAGAACAAACAGGATCCGAGATATCACTAGTGTTGTCTGATGAAGCAAAAATACCAAAAGTCAAGTTAAACGTGAAATTTCAGATAAATAACGAATATGACCCAATGTTAAATGGATTATTCCTAAATTAAAAAGGTAATCCGATATGTAAATTTAGCTGTGTGTTCTGTATTTTATCTGGCAACCCCAAAAATCACTAATCGAGGCCACCTAAGAGTCACAGCCTAACGTTAAGGCAAAAAATCCATTAAACTCTAGAGTTACACTCTTACCGTAAGACTAAAACTAAAGCACGAATATCCTTTCTCTTCTGTCTGCCCTTATTACAGATGTTTTTTTAATCAGTTGGTAAAAATTCAGTGATGATAACACAGCCCCTATCATGTAAAAAGCACACAGTAACTAGCAACAGAAACAGGAATTGCAGTCTGATTTTTAAAGTTAATAACAAAAGTAATGCAAAGTGGTGGCACATACCACTGAAGAGAAAGTAATTATTCAATATCTGGCTCTGCAGAGAAAAACATCCTTCAAGAGTTAGCTCAGATTCCCTCTCTCTCTCCTCTATGCTCCAACTCATGTAGTGAACAAAAGTTCTCCCTTATTTTTAATTTTCTTGGTACTCTAGTGGTCTCTAACTTAAAGTATTTACCACTTTCCAGATCTTAATACAGATAGATGTTTACAGCTTTCACTGCCCAGACTGGAATATAATTGTCCTAAAACACTTTGTAAAAAGGAGGTCCCTAGGTAACTGTTAATGTGAGTAGGAGTCTGGAAAACTACTTCAGTCTATTGGTGCTCAACTTTCTCCATGGCTGCAAAATATCTACCTGGGTCAAGTTTTCCAGAAAGAGGAATAACTGCATTTCCCAGCCCCACTTGAATTTGGTGTGGTCAGTATCCAAATGCTGGCCAATGGGACAAAAGAGGAAATATGCAGCTCTTCCCAGAGCCTTTTTATTTAAAGAAGAACCCAAATATACCATTTGCCTTTTTCTTCTTTTTTTTCTTCCTCATTCCATCTCCTACAACTCTGATGATGCCTTTTTTTTGGACTAGAAGGTCATGGGGCAAGTACAGCAGGGCAACAGGGTGGAGTTAAGTTGCCTGACATTATTGAGCTAGTAACTGACATCATTTTGGCCCAGGACTAATTACAGGAACATCTCTGTAAAATATTAGTGCACTTGCCTCCTTTAAGCTTCTTTTATGATGGGCTTACAGTCAATATCAGTGGCCTTATTCTAATACAGACATTGTAGCTAATGTGACTTAATTTGCATTCGCACACTAGTAACACCTGTCATCTTACAATTTCAATAGCAAAGATTAAAAAGAAAAAATATACTAGCACAAATTTGGAAAATATACATTCTCAAATACTATTATTGGTAATATATATTAAAATTTTTCAAAAGGGATGTAATTGCATACATAAAGTCTTCGAAATGTATATATCCTTTGACCCAGAAACTTCAGTTCTAGAAATATGTAAGAATGAAATAATTTGGATGTAAGAATATTAATTTATGCATTGTTTGTAATGGTGAATAAACAGTAACAAAATATTGGCTTAATAAATTATGGTAAAAATAAAACAAAGACACAGAAAAGTGATTGTGTAGAAGAATACCTAATGGAATGTAAATTTGCTCACATTAACTATTGAGAAAAAAAGATTTCAAATTTCTTTGTACTGTATGATCTATGTTGCGTGTATACATAGATATATAGAGAATATATATATATATATATATATATACTGATATATTATATATATATATATCAGTATAGAGATTCCTGGGTAAAGAAATATACAAAATTTTAGTAATTATTATCTTTCATTTTGGGAATCAGAGATAATTTTGATTTTCTTATTTTAGTTTTTCTGAATTTTCTGTTTAAATTTTTATTTAAAATATCAAGTATTAAGATAGCTATGATAAATTGAGTGTATCTCTTTCATTTTTGCTTTCAAACCAGCCAAATCTTACGTGAACTGATCCCCTTTCTCCAGCATTTTGCTAACTGCAATCATAACAACAAATTACACTGATAAGTGTCTGTTTTTCCACCTATTGCCTGGATTCGCTCTCTGATTTGCAATGGAGTCTGCCTTCCAAGTATCCTGAGCACAGAATAGCATGAATCACCACCTTTCCAGCCTGCTGACGATCATTAAGCCAATAACATCTTTTAGGTTAAATTACAAGAACCTCCCATTCCTTGAACCAATTTTTGTATTAGTCAGAGAAGGTTAATTATTTTGATAAAACAATAGAAAAAAGTTAACATAATATCCATTTATTCCTTACTTACATAAGAATCTTACACATAGAAGTATAGGCATTTTAGTGAGGTCCTAAAGGCCTCAAAAGTTCTGTCTCTTCACAGGCACTGATTGAGGAAAGGGATAGCAAATGAAAGATCATACAGGAGGAACTTATGTGGCAGAGCTAGAAATGCTGTACATCTTTCCTGCCAACATTACCTCAGTCAGAATCTCATTTGAAGGCAGTGCCTAACTCTAAAGGCATTTTGAAATGTAATTTATCTGTGCACCAAGGAAGAAAAAGAAACAAAATATGGTAACATAAAGGTATCTCTTCTACAATCATGCTTTTATTTTAATTTATTTCATTAAATTTTTATTTATTTATTTTGGTACTGGGGATCAAACCCAGGAGCGCTTAGCCACTGAACCACATCCCCAACCCTATTTTGTATTTTATTTAGAGACAGAATCTCACTGAGTTGCTTAGCACCTTGCTACCTCAGCCACCTGAGCCACTGGGATTACAGGCATATACCACTGTCCCCAGTCAAAGTGCTCTTTCTTAATCCATGAGTTCTTTTAATTAACCCAACTATCTAAAGGATGCTCAGTGACTAGGACTGGATGAATGAAAATGGAATAAACATAAAATATATTTTCTTTAAATTGTGGTGAGGTGACCTAATGGTCCTTTGTCATTATAAGGCTATTTCTGGTTAAAAAAGTAACAAAGTATCCTTTCCTCTTGACTGCAGGAAAACCTGTTTCTTGTACTTTCCTCTTGACAAGACATCATACCTTCATAATTATTTTATACAAACTCTTGACTAAGATTCAGCAAATGTGAGGGTTTTCGGATCCAGAAGGTTACTTTGGGAATTATTGCTCCTCATCATTATGAGCTGAATTTTACTAGTTAATTGCAAATGACAAACCTTTTTATGTCCCCAAATTCTGGGGCACTATGTTTTGACTATCTCTGAACAGACAACATTAGCTTCAATAATTATGATTTCTGACAAATGTTCTAGGAATAAAAAAAGATATTTATTCTTCAGTCAGAGTTTATTTAACTCTTAAATTTTTTAAAATGTACCTTTCCATATTTGTTTTCTCAGTTGAAACTTGCTTTCCAGGTTATCCTATAACTTGAAGTTGACTGATTTGTTCACTTTAATTAGATGTTTTGTAATATAGTGTTATATATTTGATTCATTGGTGCACTGCAATCTATATAAAATTATTCCTGTTCATAAACTGTTGAGAGGAAGGGGCTTAAAGTTCAAATAAGTATATAACCATTTGAACCATATATTATAACCATGCAAGATGTATTGAAATGTAACATTGTCTTTGGTTTTATTGCATTGAAAGAGGTTATAATCGACCAGTTGGCAAAGAATGGGAAGGTTTTGAGTTTTATCTTGTCTGTATAAACCTAGGCATGTTTGGTTGCCTATAAAAACAACTGCATAGAAGACAGTTGGATAAGTGTCTCATTTCATCTGGTGGATGAACTTAATAAACTGAAGGCTTTTGACTTTCTTTTAGAGCTTTATATATAATTAAGAAATGTTAACAACTCCTTATTTCATTATTTTTGTTTAAAAAAATAATATTCTTGTAGTTTGAACCACCTGAGATCTTCCTTAAAAAGATCTTTGAGATGAATAGATATTTTTATTTTAAAAGGGCACTAGAGAACACATAGCAGTTATTTCAGTGTAGCACTAAAGAATACAATGTATTAAAAGCTCTGAAATTGCCCAGTTAATGTGAAATACTTGAGTGAGTTGCAATTTTGGACGTAAGAAGTAATACACGCCTGTATCCTCAGGGGTTGTCATTCTTTGATATGGCATGTCAAGTGCTCAATTAGTCTTTCTGTGAAGGTTCTGTGATTGGAAATCTGCCCTCCTCAGTTGCCACTCCTTTTAATCACTGTTCTGAGACCCTACACATCTGTGAGCTGTTAGGATGTCAGCCAGTGCTTCTTAATCAAAGAAGCACATTAGTCAACCCAGGGAATTTTTGAGTGATTGATTTTTCACATTAACATGCTACATTTCTGTTTTTTAAACAGCTTTATGATTTACATAACATATGACCTACCCACCTAAAATAGTTTCGTGACCTTTTGAATGTGTATTAGTACTGCCACCATCACAATTCAGTTTGAAGACACTACCATGCCCCACATGCCTACATATGGTTGACCACATATGAATTTTTCAAAATTAACAAGTTTTAGCCCTACCTCCCTCCACCCCCAAACTCTCTTGGAGAGTAGAACATCAGT